AGTTACATGCGGGCCACACCATTCTTTGGAGGCTTAGCCATGAGCTTTGTAGTGGAAAGACTGAAGGAAAAAAAAGTGAAATTTTCACAAGTAATTATTTGTATATCTAGAGAATGACAGGTGCGTACACAAATACAAATTCGTGGGGGGGGTCAAAATCAATATATATAAATAAAGTACACAACTTATAATTTTCGGAGGGGAGGGGTCGCCCCCCCCCTGTATACGCGCCTGGAGAATTATATCATATATTTTACAAACATTTATTGGCAAATGTAATCGTTTTTACTTATATATAATGATACCTATATTGATGTTTTATTTGTGTGTCGTGTATACAGACGGTGGTTCACGGAGGAACATTGGCCAATTGCATGTTTTTTTTTTTGCTTCAGTTTTACGGCACTGTATTCTATGAGAGAAATAGACCTTATTATCCATTGGAACATGCCTTGTACTCAACTATCTCTCATTGTACGTTTCCTGTAGGGTATATGGAATGCCCATGAGTATTTCACGTCAGGCTACGGTGAGTAAAATCGTGCTTTTAAGATGTCCCAGACATTCCGAGTGTTCCTAATAATAGTGCTCAAATTATGGTTCGATTTAATTTGCCGTATTTGAGAACAAAAATTGAGCGTTAATGTAAAATATATGCCGTTCTCAATCGTATTTTATCAGTATTAATATATCACAACTTCGAATGTTTTTACAGGTTTACTTGAAAATTTGTTTCACAGTAGATTTGTTGCAATCATGGGAAAACTCTCATACCCCATTTTGTTGGTGAATCTCACTGTTATGGGAACATCTCAGAGTTCGCAGAGGTTACCCGTTCATGTGTCTTCAAGAAATGCGGTATGTACAGTCAAGAAAGGTTTTCAGTCGTCTCAGACATGAAAAAGTTCTTTCGCAAGCTAACTTAGCATAGACTTATAACTGCGGCTAATATATTATTGTTTTGTAAAAAGATATCAAGACCCTATTATATTGTATTTTTTCAGATAAAGTTTCCCACGGGTCCAAGAATATAAAAATTAAATTATTACAATAATAATTGTATTACCTAATAGTAATCAAAATTAGATTTCTCTTCAATGTGCATGATCACATTTTTGATAATTGGTAAAAATAATTATATTTTGAATTGGGGGGGGGGCCGGCCCTGGGCCAGAGTATATTTAGGGTGGGCCTGGCCCACCCAGGCCCCTCCTGGCTCGTCCTGTTTATGTAAGACACTAATAAATTATACGCTTATATGTACATAAGAACTCATACTAATAGAAAATAACTGTGTTGGTATAACCACAGCATTAGCCTGTGATTTAGCCCGTCTTGACCATAAAATACAATACAATCTATATATATATCTTATACCCAAGGCTGGGCATTAACGAGTTAAAAATTGAAATTAATTAAAACGTTAAGTTAATTAACTTGTTACTTTTTTTTTCAAGTTGACTTTTAACTTAATAAGTTACCTTTTTTCAGGATTAACGTGTAACTTCAAGTTAATTTTATTTCAAAAATATCTAAATTAAATTAATTTTCGTCCGACGAATAATGCAAATTTGTGAATGTGTTTTTACTTTGATTTTTCATTTTTAATTTCCCCAGTAATTTTCTTGGACGTAAAGAAAAATTATCTAATAAACCATATTATGTGTCTGGAATTTTTTATTTTTGAAAATTAGCAAATTTTAACTTTACACTAAGTTAAGTTACTTTTCTTTCAAAGTTAACTTTTTCTTAACGAGTTAACGATAAAAAAATAAGAGTAACTTTTAACTTAACTTAACTTAATTATTTTAAAATAATTTAACTTATCGAGTTAAAGAAAAACTTTAACTTTCCCAGCCGTGCTTATACCGTACTGCACTACTACAACGCTCTCCCATGAACATGAGTAATCTGTAAACGATTAAGGGGCCTGCTCGAGTGTCTTTAATAAGGGGTAATACTTAGGCAATATGCAATTTCGTTGCCGCCCATAGCATTTTGTGTTAGTCGTCAATGATCTCTCACACATCGTAGAGTGGTCTGATTTGATTATTTTTTTTTTGTTAGAAAGAGGAGAATTTTTCACAGGGCGCATTGGACTTCAATTTTAATTTCGTTGCATAAAATATACATAATAAAAAGAACAAAATCATGTGAAAATTCAAAATTGGTCATATTCAAAATCGTATTTTATGATTTAGAAATCGAATTTTGAAAATCCAAGTCCAATGCGCCCTCAGAGAAGAGTTTGTCTTTTAAGGAAATAAAACTATGGTAATCGGATCACTCTACGAGGCGTGAGGGATTTTTCTGTATGGCATGATTTTGAGCAAAAAAATAGGTCACGTGATGGCCCTTTAATGAACGAGCCTCTATATCTCCACGTTTTCCTTACACTAATAATTTCTTGTCTAATAGTATAAGGTCTATGGGTATTGGGTATTTGTATCAGTATATGTCACATAATGTCCATTATAAAAATCAAAATATTTATTTTAATTTTCAGGTGTTCCATTGAAAACTGATAACTATTAATATAATATTATTATTAATACTAAACTTAATATAATTTTTCATTTAACTATTTTACAGTTTGAAGCTTATCTCTATGATTTATTCATGTGTTATATGGCGGCCATCGTCTTATATTTGATTGTTTATGAGCCGTTTGCGAAATTGACCAATAATCTGTTAAAAGGTAAATTAATGCCTATTGGTTTTAGTCGTTTATATTTTGTAATAAATCGATCGTCAAACCTGTTTAGAACGTAAGATCTCCATAATGGCATTTTTGTTTTATTTTAAATTTCATTTAATTTGTAAATACAATAACTATTTTAGTATTTTATAATAATATCTGAAGAAGTAACTAATCTCCACTTGCAATCAAACCTGCTGTCAGTGGCGTAAATAGGGAGGATATAATATCCTATATGCGAAACTGTCAGCAGTACTCTAATTCAAATACGCTGTTCTCTATGGCACTTCGGAAATAATAATATTATCCAAGGCAAACTTATAGAATGAGTTTTTTATAATTATTATAATAATATATAATATTAAATTAGTAGATCATAATTCATTGTATAACCAATAAATGTATAAAGTAAATACAGGTAGGTTGGTGCGTAACTAATATACTAATAATTTACTTATCTTCCTTTTTTTATATTATATTTTTAGGAAAAGTTTTATCCCGTCGACCAAAAATGGAACATCGATCGAAAAAACAACTACCTGAAGCAGTAAAACTATTAAAAAAGACTTAACTATTTTATAATATGTACCGTGGGATGGGGTAACTTTGATTTCGCGGGGTAACTTTGGTACACTTATATTTGTATTCCCCAGAGTACCATGATGATTTAATTTTTTTTCATAAAATGGGGTTAGGTACTCTGATATCATAATTAGTTCGTTATTAATTATTTATGCTGTGCATATGGCTATATGGCTATTATCATCAAATCTCAAAGTATTGGCTTGGCGTCAGAAATTTCTGCATAAGCCAGATATCAATGGTCATCATAAGATCATATATAGTTGTGATGCTTAATTTTGAAGGTTGGAATTACTAGGATTATTTTGAGAAAGATCTTCTCTGACAATATTGTTATAATCGAAACATTATCATCCCTCTCTTGATTTCAATCTTAAGGTGCCGATAAATATTCACTTAGAAACTCGTCCACGAGGCATTACAATTATAGCAGTACATAATATGCTTTTCTATAAAGTATAGAAAATACAAATATGAGTATATTAATTTTTCCTCTTTGTGAAAAAAAAATGTTTCAACGAATGACAAAATATAACCATTCAATAAAAATAAAAATAAAAATGAGATAAAAAATTACCTACCCACGTTCACTGTCAGCCAATATTTTGCGTCTATATACCGAACATCGAATTATCGAAACCGATACTTATTCAACTTAGCAATGACAAACTAGGGGGCGCACCCCATCCTCAATTCCTAAAAATAGGTTTGCAATGTGTATAGTTTATATTTGATCATATCTTTTCTTTTATATTATATTCCTGGAGGCCAAATCTCCGCTAGAGAAAAAAGTAAACTATTATACAAATTATTATTACTAGTAAAGCAAATATAGTTATGATTAACTTTTTTTTATTTTTAGTTTTTTATTCGTCCTTTGTAAGTAAGATGGTGTATTCATTTAAATTTTAGTAGAACATAATAAATAATAGAAACATGTTACCTATATAAAAACTATTTAATGTTAATATATTATTTTGGTCTATGTATTCTAGTTTTAAAAATGTGTCAATAGTAAAACTATCAATTAAATATGTATTTATATATTTAATAATTGTTATTTATATATATTTATATACAGAATTCAATACATAAATATATATAATAATAAAATTTCAATGCAAATTATAAAAATTGGATTTTCCTGGATAAAATTAATTTTCCCGGCCTGAATTGTTTTTTTATTTTATGAATATCGATTAAGTTTTATCTGTTGGGCCAAAAAGTGTAAAAATATAATACAAGGCTCCTGGTATATTGTTACAATAGCAGTTGAAAAATATTAAAAATGCATTTGCACAATTTTTTTTATAAGCATAACTAATAGGAATTATAAGTTTTGACCTCCTCAATGTACAAACTAGATTCACTTTCCCACCGAAAAAGATATTGAAGTTGAAAATCGAAGCATTATGTCGACTATACTTATTGTATACACAGATAAAAATAAAATAAAAACAAAATAAGACACGCGCATATCGTTGTAAAATCAATACAATCATCCCTCCTCTCAGAATCTAAAATTTATCAAATCATCAATTTATAGGGAAAAATATATGATTCTCAATTGGAAAAATATATTTATATCACTATATGCAGTGTAGATATACTAATATCCACGAATACATGTTATAATGTATCAGTAAAAGTATTTGGATAAATAGTTTTATAATATACTGCTTCAGATCCAAAATCCAAATTCGATATTCACCAAATAACATAATTGTGACATAAAGCGATGGCAAATATATTACACTAAAGAATAAATCGCTTAGTTTCAAATTTCTCGAGAAAGAAAATGTAAGAAATAAATAAACACTATGGAAACACTCATCGTAGTAGTGTTTATAATTTATATGTATTTTGTATAAATCATACTCAAGGGTTAAGGTACAATATTTGAGACGCCAGCCTTACTGCTAAAATATAATATGCAGGTAGGTATAATAATGTTTTTTTATATTCAAAAAATCAGCAGAAAAACAGAGAAATTTTAAATTTGATTTAAATTTTTTTGGATATATATAGAAAGTAGCCGATTTGTGAATCTGATTATAAGAACAATTTTGATGGTAAAAACCATTCATCCAAGTCAAGTAGTTTATTTTTTAGATTTTTTTTAAATATTAATATTTTTTGATTAAATGAATTTGGAACGTAATAACTTTTTTCAAAATATTTTTTGCTGGGGAATTTGCTGACATGAGTACATTTCTCAAATTATTTACTAATCATATAATTTTTATAGTGGGGGCACCTCAAACCATCCACGCATTCCGACCTCCGAGCAGCCAGATTACAGGCTCCCGGTCGAAAGTAAGTCGAGAAATACTTTTATTTAAGTCGATGCATTATATACGCCGTCGACGGCGGCGGCGATTGTGCTATTATTTTTTCACTGATTTTTATATTTTTTATTTTTTTTGTCGAATCTAAGAGAATATAATATTTTTATTAATTCAGTTTCTTATACACAGTGTAACAGATAAAACTGACTTATGGAATAACTTTTGTTCTAATCAATATTTAAAAATTAGGTACCTAGTTAAAAGCATATAATAGTCTTTATAAACGGAGTAGTAGATCCGTGATACAGAGGCATAATCTATACTATTGTATGAAATTTGATTTGTATAAATTGAAGTGGTTTGAATAATATTATAGTAAGCAAGTTACTACGTGACAATGAAACCAATTTCACGGGTACACAGTTAACATAAATCATAATATACTGTAGATCGGCATAAACCAGATATTAAAAAAATAAGTGGTTAGGGTTCTTTCTGTTTAATATAATGAGACAAAACCACTGAATAACTCAGGACAAAGGGTTCAAAAATAGGCGTATATAGTATTTTACAGAAACACTGTACACGACGATATTCAAATATAAAAGAGTAAAATGATTATTTTAACAACAATCATAGTTTAGTGATACATTCAATCGTAAATGCGTTTGCTGGAATAATAACCACACAAACCACATCCGTGAGAGCCAAGATACAGTATCTATAGGCGAGGAGCACGGGGAACTTCATATATAAGGGAGCCCAAATAGGCCTGTATTCAGACGTGTACTACCACCCATTAGAGCAAGCACCTTCACTCCACTCTGTATGTCATATTTGGACTTTGTCAAAATTATTAAAAATAAAACTAATAAATTCACAATAATATACTATATCGGTCTACTTATTTCATCAAAAGAAGTGTCTGCTACCTGCAACGTTAATGTTCTAGTAGCCACTTGCCTATTATCTATACTACAATAGTAGGCACCAAGCTACCGGCACATTACAATATTGTCAATATAGTATATACTATTTATTTTCATTTTTTTTTTTTATATAATATGATGTTAACGCCAATCAGCTTTTACAAGATTGAACAAAATGAAGATACATTAGATAAATAGCCTAGGTATGAATGTGTGATATGTCATAAAGCAAGTCCTTAAAACCGTTCTCAATAAAGTCGGTAATCGGCTTATCCGGGAAAAGTCGAAAATTTTTGAAAACCGGTAACCGGTTATCGTTTTTTTTTATGTTTTGTTAACCGGTAACCGTTTCTTTAAAGATATTTCAAACACTATGATAACCGATAGTCGTTTAAAAACCGTTGATAAGGTTTTTTGGTAATCGGTTACCGGTTAAAACCCGTTTTTAAAAATCTTTTTTTTCAATTTTTTAATCATACTTTTAGAACAGTTTATTTAGGCCTTTCTTGGGTTGATAACATAACTATTATTATTACAAAACCAAAAACTTAATATGCTTTAATTTGCCAGTGTATAAAACTATAAAATATCGTAAATACTAAATACTAAATAGTACTAAATAGACTAAGCCCTATTCCACCAACTATTTCGTAATAAGAATCAACGCTCGAGGACGACGATGTTTATGACGGTATTTATAATATATAGTTATGCACTTATACCTATATATATATATATATGTGATATTCATAACAGATAAGCAATACTCTATGGCAATTAAATTTGGAAAAAAATTTAAAAATAGCTGCAAAAATAAATTCATCTATAATGTAACCATGACATAATTCAAGTATTAAATTCTACGAAAAAAAAGTTAATTTTTTGGTCGGGAATAGGTTTTGGTTATAAAACCGGGATTGAAAATACGAGGTAACCGCTTTGATGTTAATATTTAGATATTTACCTTGATTACCGATAACCAATAACAGCTTCCAGCAGTCCAAAACTAAAAGCGGTTATCGGTTTTCAAAATTTACGGTTTTTTACAGGTTTTCGTTACAAACCGGTTTCCGGTTTTAAGCCCTGGTTGAAACTATAATTGACATCTAAATTCTAGATTGTACAAAGAAATGAAAATTAGTAGATACGAGTTCGTTTATCACGGTGTTCGCTTATAACGTTATTCGTTATTACTTATTTATTAACCTAGTATTTTATGCCAGTATTTTTAAAAATTAAGTTGTTTTATTTCACAATAGCTTAAACATGTCCAAAACATGCAATAGTATCCTCTGTCCATTAATTAATTAAACAATATAGGTTATTTTTATCATGTTTATATACCTACTTATTTTTTAGTTTTTTATTACCCAAATTGTAATATGTTTTATGCATTTTTCAAAAATAATATAAAAATGTAACTGCATAGATTTAAGCATATTTTGACCATTTTGACTGAAACAAGTCAAGTCCCGAACACTAAATTTATTTATATACGAAAGCTGTAAAACTTGGCTTTAATCTGTACTTATTACTTAAACACAACCCATTTCATGATCCTGGCTGCGTCACTGGATGTAATAATGAGTTCAAATGTACACAGTCTCTTTCCCTCAATATTATGAACGTGAATATCGGTTAGGGTTAAGACTGCAATATTTTAATCGTTATACATAATAGGTACAATATTATACATTTATACATATAATACCGAAGGAAAGTCAACTCAAAATAAACACATCGTATTTAATCGATTGAAATTATAATTTATT